ACATTATAGTTAGAAATAAACTCTGAGTAGAGAAAAAACAGGAAATTTGAATTAGATATGCCCTAGGGTAGGTGGGTGTAACCCTCCCTCTTCAGTACAGTGAGTGCTTACTCAGAATCAAGAAATTTAAAAAATCAGAACAATCATTTAGCATTTCAGTTAGGACACTGCTGCTATTAAGCCATAACATTGTGCCATGTTCTCAGCTGGAGGAGGCAGGGCCTATGTTTCTTATTCATTTGGTCACTTTTGTTTTAAGGAACACAAGATTTTTATTCAGTTATTCCAGAAACATTAAATACCTTCTCAGGGGCCAAGGGACGCTGCTAGTTGCTGAAACTCTAACGACAAAATGTGATCTCAGCCCAGGGTGGGAGGGAAGGCAGACAAGTAATCAAAGTGTTTATAGGCCATGCCAGGTGTGGTGGAAAGTCTGATGTATGGAATATGTTTTTTTTAAAAAAAATATATTTTATTTTAGAGAGGAAGGAAGAGTGAGAGTGAATAGAAACATCAATGATGAGAGAGAATCATTGATTGGCTGCCTCCTGCATGCCCCCACTGGGAATCGAGGTCGTAACCCTGGCATATACCCTGACCAGGAATTGAACCCGTTACCTCCTGGTGCATAGGTGACATTCTACCACTGAGCCACACCGGCCGGGCTGGAATATTATTTTTACCTGGGAGTAAATAAAGTCAAGGAAAGGTTTTAGAGAGGAAATGGTTCTTCTGAATCTAGTTTTCAACTTTTTTTTTTTTAGTTTTCAACTTTTAAAGAAATTCTTCTTCCCCTCATGCTATACATTTGTTGGGAATTTACCTCTCTTCTTCTGTGCGAGGTCCTAGATGCCAAGAATTCAAAGACCTAGGGCTGTGGACCAGGAACTCTTTCTTCCCTTCCCATCCAGAACCCAGGCCCTTTTGCCCTAGCCTACTTCAAGGACCTCCCAATTTAGGAAGCAGATAGGTGGCCAAATTAAGAGTTAAAAGAACAACACAATACATGTTAAAAGAGTGTTTACCTCCAGGAAGGCGACTTGGGCTGGGGGCTGAAGGGGTAGGTGGGAGATTTCTGTACCATTTGAATTTATATTGAGGTAAACCAATACATATGTAAGGACTCTAGTATCACTAAGGAGATATTGAGTACCTAAGCCACATCAGAAGACTGCAACAAGTAGAAAAAGTCCCTACATTCAAGGGATTTCATTTTCTGGAAGGGAATAGTAATGACAGATATAAGCCTCTTAAGGAAATAAAGCAGGGTACAGACAGTCCTCGGGTTACGCTGGAAGTCCACGTACGTCGTTTCATGGTTACGTCGCCATCTCCCATTTACTTATAAAAAAAAATTCTGTCATGTCGAGGTATGTACATATGGTACATATGTGCTTTATGTTTTTTGTTATTTATTTACCACAAGTAAAGGTCAGGAATTGTTATCTTTAAATTTTTTTTTTTACTGTTTCACTTCATTACTGCTGTGTATGTGCTCCACGCGAGTGACATAGGTGCTTACGGTCGCGTTATGTTGCGCTGTAGGAACGGATCTCCGACATAACCTGAGGACCTAATGTATTGTGAAAGAAGGAAGGAGGTGGAGGGGATGTGAGCTTGGATAGAAATAGGGGATAAAGAATTCCTATATGGGAGGGGCATAGGAGCAACAATCTAGTGGAGAAGGTGTCTAAGGGGCTTAAAATTCCCATTTACTTAGGAAGCAAGCATACTATTTTTATACACAACTCATATTACAGATTAATGAAGAGAAGTTTTCTAAAGTTTTTTTTTTAAATATATTTTATTGATTTTTTTACAGAGAGGAAGGGAGAGGGATAGAGAGTTAGAAACATCAATGGGAGAGAAACATCAATCAGCTGCCTCTTGCACACCCCCCACTGGGGATGTGCCCGCCCCCCAGGTACATGCCCCTGGCCGGAATCGAACCCGGGACCCTCCAGTCCACAGGCCGATGCTCTATCCACTGAGCCAAACCAGTCAGGGCTCTAAAGTTGTTTTTATTTAACTCACATGCAATGGGGAAACTGTCAACTATCCATATAAAAATAGGTGAAGGAATTAGCTAACGAACATATATGTATAACCCATAGATACAGACAACAGTGTGGTGAAAGAAAGGGGGGCAGGTGGAAGTGGGCAAAGGGGGGGTTATGGGGACATCTGTAATAATGTCAACAATACAATAAGGTTAAAACAATTATATTTGTAACCAGGAGGAGTGAAGAAGAGTAGGCATTGAAGGGACGGTGCCAATGCACCTTCTTGAAACGCACGAAAGGGTAGACTTCCTGTTTCCCAAGAGTTTAAAATTGAATTTGGATTAATATGCAAAAAAGATGTTTACACATCAGTTAGCAATGCTTGTAGAAAACAGTGGTTCACCCTTCACTGTGTCTTCAGGGAATTCCCCACATGCTAAGTACTAAAATGTGTTTCCATTATTAAAAATCTAGCTTGAGCCCAGCTGTTGTGACTCAGTGGTTGAGGGCGGACCTAGGAACCAGGAGGTCACCATCCTATTCCCAGTCGGGGCACGTGCCTAGGTGGTGGGTCCATCCCCAGTGGGGGGCGTGCAGGAGGCGGCAATCAATGATTCTCATCATTTATGTTTCTGTATTTCTCTCCCTCTCCTTTCCTCTCTAATATCAATTACATATATACATATATTAAAAATCCAGCTTGAGTTTAGCCTTTGAAAAGTGTTCAAACTACATATTCCACAGTGTTAATATTCATAAAGTGCTACAATAAGGAAAACAAACAATAGAAATCATCAATCAAAACAAAACTACACAACAAACTTTAAATGCCCACTGATATCCAAAATTCATGAAGTGTATTCTTTTATTTTTTAAAAAATGTTTTTATTGATTTTAGAGAGAAAGGAAGAGAAACATCCATGTGAGAATCGAACTCGCAATCTTTCTGTGCACAGGATGATGCTCAACCCACTGACCCACAGGAGCCAGAGCACGAAAAGTGTACTCTAATCAACTGCTATTTAGAACGTAAATTGTTGTATTTTTTTTTTCCTGGAAGGCAATTTGGCATTTATATCATTTGTTTCAGTAATTCTCACCTCTAATTACTATATCTTAAAGAACACACACACACACACACACAACGACACACACACACAGCACAGAGAAAAACAACATAAGGAGGAACGATATTCACCATGGAGTTATGTACAACTAAAAAATTAAGAAATGTATCTACGCGACAATAATGTTCGGATTGAATCTCATTTTGATGGCGTACTAGTGGAATTTCCCCCCTCCAGGTGGCATTTAAGTCTGCAGCGAGCCGGGCCAGGCCGTTTTGCCAAGACTTGTCCACGTGCTGGCAAACAAACCCCATGGCCGCGGGGTGGGCCCGGGCTTTCGCGCTCGGGCCGCCTGGAGGGTGTGTGTTTACTCTGCACAAGTCTGGGTGCGCGGCAGGGGGGTCCGCAGCCGGCGGGGCGCTGGCCTTGCTGCAGGAATCCGCCGCGCTAATAGCCACCCTGGGGTCCAAAGCTGAGGTCCAGAGCCAGCCCCTAAGGCGGTGACTTCGCCTCGGAAACGCGCGCTTCCGTCTTCTTGCTGGTTTCGGGGTCGGGCCTAAAGCAATCAGCGCCAACATTGAGGAAGTGTATTTTTCATAAATACTCCTTTAGAAAT